AGGAAGGGAGGGGGCACAGGGGTAGGAAAGATGGTGGAATGCAGTGGTCATCATTACCCTAAGTACATGTAAGAAGACATGAAGGATGTGACTACTTTGTGTACAACCAGCAATATGAAAAATTGTGCTCTATATGTGTAATATGAATTGTAATGCATTCTTCTGTCATATATAACAAAAATAAAAAATAAGATCCATATGTGCCTGGATTAAAAGAGTACATTTTAGATTTTATCATTTGAGTTCCACTATGAAAACAGAATACATGTACATGGCAACCATATGGCTCTAGAAATAGCCAAGAATACTTGGGATGCAATAGAATAAAAGGCCTTTTTCTTTCTCTGCAACACAGAGTAGAATCTGCTCCTAGATTCTAAAACAAGTTCCAAATGAATATATAATGGCCTTCTGCATTTATAGCTTGAGGAGGAAATAGATGAAAGATGAAAAAGATATGTTTTATAAACAAAGACACAGAGAGCTTCACTAGTAAATTCTACCAGATAAAGTTAAGAAAACCAAATCACCAATATTAACAAATTTGGGCAGGGAATAGAAATAAAAATAGAAAGAAAAAAATTTTAACTTGTTCAATACAGCCAACATAACCCTTGATACTAAACCTTAATAAGAAAAGAAAATGATAAACCAATCTAAACTGGTAAGCATAGATGCAAAACCCCACCAAGATATCTTAATCGGTTGTTTTTATCTTTTTCATATCTTTTTTATTTGTTTATATCTCAAACTATTCCCTTAGCTCATTGATTAAAACTAAGAATGAAAGAAGTGGTCACCTTGATTGTTTTGCTTTATTTTTAAAGAATGATTCTTACCAACAAATTTCTTTCACTCTATAATACTTTAGTCAGAATCCTGGGCTGTGCTCCATATTTGAGTTCTGCCAAATGTCAATATATTCATATGAGATGCATTTGAGCAATGAAAAAACCTTCTAGCAATTTATTCCACCTTCCTCCCAACCCAACTAAATGTATTTAGTCTCTGGAATATTATTGTTTTCCTCTAACAGCTAATATTAAAGACAACAAAAATCAATAGGTCACTAATATTGTCAGACATGTTGTCAATATTTTGCCACTCATGTTTTCCAAGTATAGATTTTTCCTTTTGTCCACTCAAGTTATAATGCTACTTTTCATTCTTCAGTATGAATTTGAAGTTCTCTATTATACAACAAACACTGGTATACTATTTAAATAACTTTTTAAACCTCCATATATTTTATATGCTGTGCAAGCTTTCTTACAGTATTCCTAAGTTTTTTTAAGTGTGATTATCAGCCTCAAAGTCAAAATAGATATAAGAAAAGATTTCACTAACCTATGGGAAAGTTTACTTGTGGATATATGTTTAAAAAAAACTTGAATGCCAAAAATATTCTATCACTTTTAACAAATGATACTGCAGAGCAGAACTCTCCTATATCCAATAGGCCCTAGAAAAAAAGGAACTGGTTTAATTCAAGAAGAACAATACACTAATATGACTTTGGTATGTTCAAACTATAACTTTCATGTGGAATATTGAGGTACTTACTATCTTAGTTACCAAACTGAAAAAATTAAATTGCTCATCAAGACTCTTTTTTTTTTTAGTTGTCAATGGACCTTTATTTTATTTACTTATATGTGGTACTGAGAATCGAATCCAGGGTCTCACACATGCTAGGCAAGTGCTCTACCACTGAGCTATAACCCCAACCCAAGACTCTTAACAAAAAAAAAGATACATATTGTCTATTTGTTGCACAATCATCAGTGGATCGATTTTGTTTATGTCTTTTAAATATTATTAGTAGGAGAGACACAATAAAAACCATGTTTTTAAATTTCCTAAACCGACAACTTTTAGTATTTTATACTTACTATATTAATGTACACTGTAAACAAAATGAGAGATGAGCTTAAAATTTGAACAAAGTATGAACACATGTATCAAAATGACTATGACTTAGGTACACATAATCTTTAAATTTCATGATTTTCAAAGGAACTTTGTTTAATAAAATTCAAGCAATAAATATTTTTAGAATTCTGTTGATATTAAGACATTCCATGAATACTACAACAAGCATTCTTTGCTAAAGAATCGAGACTGGGTCAATATGCTATTGAGTAGGAAGAAGTAAATAATAAATGCCTGTGTGAACTACAGAACTTCAGCTGTACATAAGTTGTTTATTCATGTTCTTAAAATCATTATTTATATGGAAATATCCAGACTTCCAAAAATTATTAGCAAACCAATGGACTATCAAAAAGTGAAATATCAACAATGATGAGAAAGGATTGCTGAACTAGATAATGGGATGGCATAATATTCCTGCACTTATGAGAAGCCTATCTCTGATTTTTTATTACACATATCAGTTTTTAAATGTGTAATGAATAAATAAAATACACAACAGGGTTTTATTCTGCCATAAAAGAAGAAGAAAATTGTGTCATTTGCAGAAAAAATGGAAAGAAATGGAGAGCATCATGTTAAGTAAAATAAGTCAAACTCAGAAAGACAAATGTCATACATTTTTTTCTCACATATAGAAGCTAGAGAGAAAAAAATGGGTCTCATGAAAATAGAAGGGAGACCATTAGGATAGAGTAAGGGGATCTGGAAGGAGAGGAGATAAGGAGGGAAAAGGGAGTTAATGGGTAGTGAGGTCAATCAAATTATCTTATGTGCATGTGCCACAGTAAAACCCTTCTACTCTATATAATTAATATGCACCAATAAAACTAAAAAGCTTTTTAAATGTGGAGAAGATTTTAAATGTGGTGAAGATTACTGTTACTTGATATATTTTCAAGTATCTAATTATCCTTCTAACTTCCAGGTTCATTGGTCTTCCTATAATTTATATATATTTCCTTCCTATAGTAAAAAACGTGTTTCTCAAATAATTCCTGATTCCCAAACTTCAAAGCCATTACTAATGTTCTCAACTCTGTAACAGAAAACAATAAAATAAAAGGAATAAATGGTTAATTTTCTTGATGGAAAAGTATTCATATACTAATAGCTTTGATATTTCATGTTTATATTGGGGGGACCCATTTTCTCCCTCAAAATTAACTGAGATTCTGTAAGTAGCACTCACTGCAAATGTCACAATGAAACAACATGTGACCCCATTGATCCCTTTGTCACTGACATCTATAGACTGGACTTTTGCTTTGTCCCAGAATATAACACTGAGCTAGCTCTTGGACCAGAAAATCACTCTGCTATTTGTTTGATTAGTACATGTGCTGAGGAAGAAAATAATCACTGAAACAACATAATTTGAAAGTGACCATCAAACTGTTAACTATATATACACAGGAAAAGTAGAAAAGTGAAACTTTCCCCTAGATGTTGAACAGTATTATCATTCAATTCACAAATTTGCATATTTATTTATTAACTCCTTCAGCAAGCATTTACCAGACATATCTTACAGATTGGGTTCTTATGTGATAATATTAAGTTTACAAAAATATGCTGGATGTGAATCTATTTTATTTCCAGTTAGCATCATTATTTGTGAGAGAATAACTCATAACCCACTTTCCCTTTCCCCCTTATAGCCTAAAAGAGCAAAATAAGGAACGCTTCATTTTTTCCTTTCCTTATCTCTGTATACCTCTCTCTATATATCCATAATTTCTATGAGAAAGGTCAGAAAGTAATAGTGTAGAATTCCTAGGAAAAAAAGGTATTTTCCTGACTCCATTCAAAAAAATTTTGAAATGCCAAGAGCCACTATGAATAAACTATAGTATTTGAATCATTTATCTTTGATTAGATACATTAATCTTAAATATGGCACTTACCTATTTGTTAAGTATATTTGGCTTCTAAAATAATAAGAAAATTAAATCCAAGTTTAATGGACTTTGAATAGTAAGTTCACCCTTGAACATACAAATGCTTCTGACACAAAAATTAGTCATTTTTCTTCTTTGTAAAATATATTTAAAAATATGCAAAATAAAAGGTTAAGTCCTATACCCAATATTATTTTCTTCTTTATATGAGTACAAATAGATGTTCTGAGACATGCTTATAATTTCTATGTAATGACAAAATACTGTTGTGGAGCCATTAGCTATATTCTGAGTGCCTTTCTCAATGGAGAATATTTTGCCAAAATGATATTCATGAAAAGTGTAAGCTACAGAATAGGCCACATTTTTTTTTTAAAGAGAGAGTGAGAGAGGAGAGAGAGAGAGAGAGAGAGAGAGAGAGAGAGAGAGAGAATTTTTAATATTTATTTTTTAGTTCTTGGCGGACACAACATCTTTGTTGGTATGTGGTGCTTAGGATCGAACCCGGGCCGCACGCATGCCAGGCGAGCGCGCTACCGCTTGAGCCACATCCCCAGCCCAATAGGCCACATTTTATCAAATGGTATACCATTCAAGATACAAATCAAATGCTATCTCTATCACAAAGCCACTTCTGTTTCCCTCCCTATCCAGCTGTTCTCTCATGCTTTCTCTCTCTTTTCTTGGAATACCCACCGCAATTCATTTTTACATCTCTTGTGGGTATTGTGACCTTTTAATAATGCATTGTAATGGTCTGGATAAATGTCTTCTCTTCTATGATAGTTTGCTTTAGTATACAAAGATTTTAAATATTTTTTATTCTTCATTATAGGTACCAGAGTGTCTTGCACATATGTTTCTCAAGAAATGCTCTGGTGCTTCATTTTTTTGTTGTTGATGATTTAGACCTCTATATTACTTCTATTATTTTAATAGCTTTTAATGTTTTACCCTTGTTTCTCAAAACTAAACCATAATCTCCTTGAGGCTTATGATAATCTTCTAAACACTTTTATATTCCCAGAATTCTTGGCACAGGGTATGCTAAAAAGTATTCCATTTAATTGATTAAATTTTATCAAAGATTCATCTAAAAAACATTTCAGAATATAGCTAGCGGCCATCTCCCAGTCAGAAGAATCAAATCCCATAAAATTTGCTTACCATGACATTGACATTTGTATGATCCCCTTTCCTATTCCGAATCTGAATACAGGAGATTGGCAAATTCAGTCTTACCCCAGTGGCTAGATTTCTCAGGTCAGCAGCATTATGTTCCCCATGCAACAGCAAACTGTTATGATTAGAACCAAGTCCCAGAGAGGCCCGATAGAGATATGTCTGAGTTAGTCTCTCTACTGTAGTGACATCTACTGTGGCTGATGTCATATAATGATTAGAAGCCATCTTCCTTCTATACCTCAGATCCTCTGAAGAGTGACAGCAGCTCTGAGAGCAATAACCTGGGCTCTGGCTCAACTTAATACACATGAAGAAAAGTAAGCACCCCAGAAACAGAAAGGAAACGCAGGCCAGGGCAATTACTAAGTACAAGTTCCGGGTAGAAAGTTGCCCTCCTGGTTCCCAGACATCTTCAAATTCTGGAAGGACTTGAGGCACAGAATTGCTCAATAGTACACCCAGAATGACAGACGAGGAAAGTGGGGGGTCTCCATGGTCCTGAACCACTACCACCACCCTCTGCTTAACTGCATCAGTGGAAAGAACTAAGCGTGCAGTTCGGAGCTCTCCCATATTGGCTGAAATTCTGAAAAGGCTAGAGTCAGAAGCCTGAGAGATATGGTAGGACAGCCAGGCATTGGAACCACTGTCTGCATCCTCTGCTACCACTTTTGTGATCAAGTGTCCTATTCTGGCAGAGCGGGGCACAGCTTCCACTGGGATAGAGCCATTTCTGGGCAAGGGAAACAAGATGACTGGAGCATTATCATTCCTATCTACCACAAACAAGTTTATGGTCACTGTTGAACTTCTGGGTGGAATGCCACTATCACGGCCTTCCACTTGGAAGTGAAATCCCCTGAGTTTCTCAAAGTCAAAGGAAGTTTTGGCAGTGATATCCCCACTGGATGGTTCCACTGCCACCAAGCTAGAGGCTGGCATCCCTTCAGAATTAAGAGTATCCAACAGTTCATAAAAGACAAGGCCATTCTTCCCCTGGTCTGGGTCCTGGGCAAACACACGGCCTAAAGAGGCCCCAAGGCCATTGTTTTCAGCCACAAAAATTTCTTGTTGTGGTTGAGGAAATCTTGGTGTATTGTCATTTACATCAGCAATTGACACAGTGAGGGTCCTTTGGGTGCTGAGTGGGGGTGAGCCACCATCTGAGGCAGTGATCAGGACCTGGTATTCACTTATCTGTTCGTGGTCGAGAGGCCCATCAGTCAGGAGGCTGTAGTAATTGTCAAAGGAAGCCTTCAGCTGAAAAGGGCCTCTGCTGGACATGCTACAAATGACTCTACCATTGGGACCAAGGTCCTCGTCCTTTACACTAAGTAGAGCAACCACTGTGCCAGGGGCAGCATCCTCAGGTACTGAATTGGAGATAGTCATGAAGTCCACCTCCGGGACATGATCATTCACATCAGTCACCTCCACCAGCAGTTTGGCAGTGCTCACTAAACCGAAGGCACCTTCGTCCCTTGCCTCAATGTATGCCTCCAACAGCGTTTCTGGTGCACCTAGTGAAGCAGCTACCTGAACCTCCCCACTTTTAGGATGTACGTGAAAGATATGTCGCAGCTCTGCTCGAGTGCTATTGCTTAAGGAATACCAGACTTCACCATTAGAGCCTTCATCTGGATCCGAGGCCCGAACTTGGAACAACACCGTCCCATTTGGTGCAGTCTCTGGAACCTTGGTACGGTATACAGAGCGTTCAAATACAGGTGCGTTGTCGTTAGTGTCCACCACGATGATGGTGACTTGTGCGTCTGCGGAGCGCACAGGTAACCCACCATCCTGAGCTGTGAGGACCAGCAGATGGGTGGCAAGCTGCTCACGATCCAGAGCTTTCTCCAACACCAACTCTGGGTATTCGCTGCCGTCGACTCGCGACCCCATTTCCAGGCGAAAGTGCTGATTGGGGCTTAGGCTGTAACTGAGCATCCCGTTGCTTCCCTCATCGGCATCTTGGGCATTAGGGAGAGTAAAGCGGGCTCCAGGTGTCAGGAACTCCGGGATGTGCAACTGCACATCGCCGGCAGGAAAATGAGGTGAGTTGTCATTGGTATCCAGGACGTGAACACGCATCTTGTGCAGCTCCAGAGGGTCCTCAAACATTAGTTCACAGGTCAAGACGCAGGAAGCTTTGGTCCCGCAGAGCCGCTCGCGGTCCGCCGGCTCTCGGACCACCACGTTACCGCTGCCCAGGTCCACTCCAAAGTAGGGCTCGTGGTGGTGGGAGAGGATGCGAAAGTTCCTTAAGGACAGAGCGGACGCCGGCAGCTTCAAGTCCGCAGCGACATTGCCTATCGCCACGCCCCGCTGGGTCTCCTCCAATACCGAGTACTCCAACTGTTTGGCGGCAGCGCCGCAGGAGACCCACAAACATAGAACCACCACCATCCAACCCATCATTCTCCCCTTTGGCGTCCACGCTCCACCAGCGGTGACCTGGGACCATGCTCCGGACTCCCGGAGACCATAAGTCACCGTGAGGAGCAAGTTCTGTGGGCCGACGCGAACTAGAAGTGCAGCGACCGCCGGCCCACGTTCGGCCTCTGGAATACGGGAATTACCCGGCGCTGGCCGGCTGGGAGCTCTGTTTGCTAAACTGGAGGCTTTGCAGCCGTCTGGGAAAGAGGATCCGGCCGGGTGCGGAGGAGCGCAGCGCCGCCTAGGGGAGCAGAGGCGAGTACACTTGCCAGGGCCGGAGAGGAGCCGTCTTCAGTCTCGGCGGGGTGGGATCTCGCCCCTGGCTCTGGCTGCAGGCGCACGGTGGGACGAGGAATCCGTTCCGAGAAACTAGTCTCACCTTTAAGGGCGTTTCCTAAGACGACGCCCTGACACTGCCCCAGTCATAACCTCTTCCAGAAGACAGCTGGTAAGTGGGACTGAACCCGGTTGGACTCCTCCACGCCAAGTCGACCGTCTAGCCCCGTCCCTGTGCCCCACTGACCCCCTGTATTGCCCGCTGTAAGTGCAGAACTCCGCGCAGAACCGCGGGGCGGAGGCGGTGAGAGGCGGAACCGTGAACGTGACCGACCACGCCTTTTAAGCTTAAGGAAACAGGAACCCGGGAACCCAGTGCTGTGATGCGTTGGGTGCTGTTCCCAGGCTCCTCGCGGAGGGTTGAAGTCCCTCCCTCACCCTCTTAAGACTCCGGAGCCGCCCAGAGTTCAAAGTAGGCGACCAGGAGGGCACTTTGGGGAACAGTATCCACTTCAAACTTCCCCCAGACTCAGGCTTTTGAGGCAGCAAAGCCAGCGCAAGGCTTACGATTTTATATGGGGTTTTTGTTTGTTTGTTTGTTGTTTTTTCTTGCTTTCTGCCAGACCTCAGTTTCTCGTTTCCTAAGAAGCCCTACTGGGAGTACAGACAGCTGTAGACGCTCAGAGTAACCGAGGAGGTCATAAACCAGTAAAAATACCCAAGACCAGAAACTTAAAAATTCACAACTTGTCCCCAAACAAGTTGTGAGAATATGTGGAGGGGAAAGAAAGTACTGAGATAGTCTCCACATTGCGACCAGGAAACTACCTTCTGTAAATTCATTCTCTGTGAATATTTTTAAAAACAGCAATGAGGCAGTAGATGCCAATACCTTCTCCAACTTCGCTTTCAATTCAATTCCAGCTTCTGCATGGAAATCGCGACGGTGAGAAACATCTCTGAACCACAACACCTCAGAATTCCGCCTGCCACCTAAACCCAGTTTCTGAGAGACAGGCGAGCTGAAATGACTGAATTCCTCACTCAAATCCTCTTTTAAATATAGTTGCAGAGTTCAAAGCCCCAAGAATCAAAATTTGAAAGGCAAAAACTGAAAACTGATCAAAGAACTAAAGCTCCCAGAACATTTTCTGGTTAAAAATTGCCTAAAAGCATTGATAATTAATGTAGCTGAGTGATGGCACATGTAGGTTAATTATAATTTCTCTCAATTTTTTTGTTTATGTTTGAATATTTGTGTAATATTTTTAAATTGCTGATTTAAATTGTGGGGAGGGTGACAACTCCAGAACTCTCTTTTTAAGATCAAAAGTGGAACTCTCTCACTGAAAAGTGGAGTTCAGTGTTCCACTGAGAACCATTTACCTCCCCTGTACATCACAGATCCATTCCCTATTTCTTCCAGGGAACTATATATAGGATGTAACATAAGGCAGTGTAAATAGTAAGTGCACCCTGACTAGTTTGCCTTTGTGAATTAAGGAACTAAGTCTCAGACAAAATTTAAACAAGAAACTTGTCTGCCCATTAGGTTCAGCCACAAGAGTAGAGACAATTAGCAAACTTTACTAGGATATGAAATAGTCCACAAAAATTGAATTTATTCTTAAACAAATTTCAAAAACAAAACAAATTATTGGCTTCAGTGTCAAAGATTAGGATTTGTATTTCCTTGTCTTCATTTACTGCTACTAGTCAAGCTAACTGCTTTGGGATTAAAAGTTATTCTTTCCACTAGTAGCATATGAAATACATTTGGAGAGATGGCATTTGACTTTTGGAAAAACCTCTTAATTTTAGACCTATAGTGAAGCCTCTTACACCAGGTTTAAGAATACTAAACTATATCTAGGTGGACAGTATGTGTAGGCAAAAATTAAGGTATGACGAAAAGGAAATACTCATACAGAGAACCACTATGGAAATTTACCACAAAAATCCTTCACACATTCCTCAGATTTCTAGCTTTCCTTGTTCCTATAGTTTCCTTGTTCCTATAGTTCCATTTAAACTGCCACTAACATCTATTTTCAAGGCATTTAATCGGTGTCAAGAATAACAGAATAGCACCTGCCTGGTGAAATCTATTCCACGATATGCCTCCCTGACTCCAGGTATAACATTTCATTCTTATTCAAATAAACAGGGATTTGTAAAAAAAAAAAAAAAAAAAAAAAAAAAACAATATTCAGGAGAAAGGATACCCCCATGAAGACGACTAGAGAATATTACTTTTTGGACAGGATGACCAGATGAACATTAAAATCCTTAATCAACAAAATGTCTCTTTAGCAGAAACTTTCAATGTTAATATTTCAACCTTTCATTGCTAATATTTCATTTTGTCATTTTATGGAATTTTCCAGATTCTTCTAATTCAGGTATTTCCAAGATTTTACATAAGTGCATTTATAATTTTAAGTGGAAAGTATGTAAATTATCATCTTTTTAGGTTTTTTAAATTTGCTGATAGACCTTTATTTATTTATACATTGTGTTGAGAATTGAACCCAGTGCCTCACACATGCCAGGCAAGTGCACTACTACTGAGCCCCAGCCCCAGCCTGCAAATCATAATCTTAATTTCTGCTTAAGCTCTGTTGACCAAACTATTATTATAAAGCCCTTCCATTAAACTTGCCTTCAGCTATACATTCAGAAGATTAGTACTATTGCATGCATTCTTATTAAAGATCTCAAAGCCAAAGAAGAAAATATTGAATCTGATACCCACTTAAGCACTTGTCAGTAAAAGGATACTTGTACTTTAAACAAAATTTTCTTAGTGCTTTAGATTGTTCCCTAGAAATATATTAGGTACTATGGAAACTAATCAACAAATAAGACATCATCATCATCACATTAAACAGACTTTAATCCTGTATGATAGTTTAACCAAGTGCCCAAAGCAAGTCTAATAGAGTGGGAGTTCTTTGAAGATAGAGATCTGTGTCATTTAATTTTGTTTCTCAAGTTTCTAAAGTAGCTAAAGCACTCTTGATATAAAACATCCTCTTTAGTCTTTTCTTTTTTTTTATCTTAGACTCTTTACCAATAACAAATCACTACAGAATTTCTTTGCCAAGTTTTTATTCTAAGGAACTAATTGTTCTCTATGTCATACATACCTTCTAAAGTGTCTTGGACCTTTCTTTGTAAATTTACACTCTAATTAACTCTATGTTATGTTTACTTGTTAATTTTATTAATGATGTACCAATAAGTACATGTTTAAAGACACAAATGGTGTGACTCTACTTTGTGTACAACCAGAGAAATGAAAAATTGTGCTTCATTTGTGTACTATGAATCAAAATGCATTCTGCTGTCATGTATAAATAATTATAAGAAATTAAAAAAATAAAGTCAGATTTGACCAAAAAAAAAAACCTTTCTATAAAAATATTTTCCATCTTCAAATAGTGACCCTCAGAACTTAAGTCATATTTCAGGTAGGTCAATCAGCTCCAAGAAAAAGATGTCTTGTCCTTTCATTCTAAATACTGTATATGTGATAAGAGTCCAAGACTGCAGTCTGACTATCAGGGCAAACCACTGCCAATGCCTATTTGCTGAGTTGTCACAGGCTAAAGACAAAAGTAGATTTATATTACTGGAAGTAAAAATCTGAAGTTTATTTGTATTTCAAAATTTTTTCCCTTGAATGGTCCCTTTGGGTATTTTTTCCTTTTCCACATATTTTGTCTCTTTAAGGACATTTATTAGGAGTAAGTTGGATTTCTTTTTTTTCTGTGTTTCAAATCTATGCTTTTCTCTCTAATTCTGCTAAACTATTTGTCATTTCCCATTTATTTTTCTCAAATTTCTCAAGTATTTCTTCTTGCTCTGGACTACATGCTAGGCAGAACCTGTTCACCTTTTTTTACTGCTTCTAATATGTCCTTAATTTCTGTGATGACTTTATATTTCTCTTCCATTTATGTCATGAATTGTTCCAGCTCACTTTTCATGACTTTTGTGGCTTTTCATTTTGTCATTGAAACTCTGGAACTCTGTTTTGAGTTCTAGATTCTCTGAGGCCATTGAAAAATTAAGTTTTTCAAACAGAGCTGAAGAAAATATTGAACACCATATATTCAGAGGTGAATATACAAAATAGATAAGGAACTCAAACAACTCAATGATAAGAAAACAACACATTTGAAATGAATAAAGGATTAGAAGACAGTCCAAGATACCAATTTCTTATTTATAGGCAAAATAACTAATATTATTATCTTCTTAATATGATGAACTGTGCTTTATCATTCTGCAAATGCAGGGTAAAGCTTAATCATATCATTGTGGGTCTTTCCAGTAGATGCTAAGAGTTTTGTGTGTACTAATGAAAATGAGTATGTTTTGGAGGAAGTGATAACTAGTTTTAGATTAAGAATGAGAAATTTGAGTGCATTTTAAAATTTGAGACAAAAGTATGTGTGTGTGTTACATATTTTTAGCATTCACATTTTTTGTCATGAAAGTAACAAATACTATTTTGCACTTTTGATGAAGTTTGACTTACATACATGATTTTTATTGCTATTTTTCACTTTGAGTAGAATGTTCATTAATGTAAATTGTATTTATTTTTATACTCTAGTTTTCTCTAATTTTATTTCTAGGCAATAGGTTAAAAACTTTTAATTTTAAAGAAGAAATAAAATGAGTAAAGGGGATGGCAGACATAATTCAGAGGTAGAGCATTTTCCTAGCATATGCAAGGCCCCAAGTTGGATCCCCAGCACTGGGAGGGGGGAAAAAAGGAGTAATAAGGAAACTGAATAGATATCTCAAAACACACCCCACCCCCTGACACACACATACACACAATGGTCAACAGGTATATGAAAAATGCTCAAAATCACTAATTATCAGGGAAATGCAAATTTAAACCACAGTTAGATATTATCTCACATCTGTTAGAATGACTGTTGTCATAGATGAAAGAGATGTTAGTAAAGATGTGGAAAAAAGGAATATAAATTATGATGTTGGTAGGAATATAAATTAGTACAGCTGTAATGCAAAACAGCATGGAAGTTCCTCAAAAAGTTGAAAAAAAATGGCCATATGATCTGGCAATCCCACTATTGGGTGTATATTTAAGGAAGATGAAACCAATATGTCAAAGAGACTACAATTTGTACCCTCATGTTCAATATTCAAAACAGCTTAGATAGGGTATCAACCTATGTTTCCATCAGTGAGTCATCAGTGAGTAAATGGATAAAGAAAATGTGGTATACATACACTATGGAATACTAAAGAAGGAAACCTTGTCATTTGTGATAACATAGATGAATCCAGAGGATATAAGTGAAATAAGCCAGGCACGGAAAGATAAAGATCACATGATCTCATTTTCACATTTAGTCCTATATCCATGGATTTCACATCTCTGAATTCAACCAACTACTGATCAAAAATACTTTTTAAAAGTTGCTTCATTTATTGAACATGCACATTTTTTTCTTGTCATTATTCCATAAACAATAAAATATAACAAACATTTACATATCACTTACATTACATTAGGTATTATAATTAAACTAGAGATGATTTAAAGTATACAGAAGGATGTGCATATGTTTTATGCACATTTTATATAAGAAACTTAATCATCCACAAGTTTTGGAATCTGTGGGGGCCCTGGAGCCAATACCACAGATACCCAGGGATGATGGCACATGAAGTCGAACAAAATTGAATTCATAAAAGAAGGCAATATTGTGGTGGTCAAAAGGGGTTGGAATGGGGAGATGTTGGTCAAAGGATACAAAATTTCAGTTAGGAGAAATAAATTCAAAAGATCTATTAACAACAATATATTCTATGTTCAAAAATTGCAGAGTAAATTTTAAGTGCTATCAGTGCAAAAAGTATGCAAGATAATGACTACATTAATTAGTTTTATTAAGCCATTCCACAATATATTCACACTTCACAGCATACTGTACATGATAAATATATACAATATTTATTTCTTAATCTTAAAATAATTGATTAATTAGGTCTTGTGAATCTTTTGGCTAAAGGCTTCTGGTTAAAAATCTGCTTGTACAAAATTTCAGGTGTGTATTCTCATCTGTAATTTGTCATGTATATTGTTTTTCCTTTCTTGCAATAAAAATATAGATTCCATGTTGGCTCATTTGAGCACTACTTATCTTTGAGAGAAGTTCTTCCAAGACCAGCTGCTTGCAGGTAGAATATGTAATCAGATGGGTAACAACTACTTTGATTTAAAGTTAAACATTCTCTTTTTTTTTTGCCATTTTGATAGAGTGTTTTGTGTGTACCATAGCTTTTACATGTCTTCAAACTGATGAGAACTGGCAACTGCAAGACAACTGGTCATTCAGAGTTTTCTCTTGAGCTTTCCACATCCTTAGGTTCAATCCTGAAATAATGATGCATCTGCTCACTATGGCATTCAGCCCTGACTTCTATCCTATTTAGTCATAGGATTATGAGAATCATGCCTTCAGTCTCTTACCTAGATCTTTTTTGTTCCAAAACAAGGAGTCATTGGTTTTGCATCTCAGAGTGAATTTCAGCATGGAAACACTGATCTACCAGGCCTTCCTGAAATCTCCAGTGGTAGGTATATTTTCACAGCATTCTCACATCTTCATCCAATCTTCATGGCACTTGGGAAATTATCTTCATAATCATCATAGTATTATTCAAATGTTTATGGAGTTTCATCACAGATGTGATTTTATTTTATTTTATTTTGTCTGCTGCTCTTTTTGTTATTTTTGTTGAGTGTCATGGTAGAAAAGAGACTTTTGAGTGTATGTTTTCATTTATCCATAGTTGATAAAAAGCTCACTTTTGTTTAGTTATTGTAGGTATGTGGGAAAGTTCTGATTTTAATATTTTGAACTAATCATCTCATTGAAATATTCTTAGTTCTAATTATTTTTCCTTCAATTTTTCTGGGATTTCTTTTAATTTTGAGGGGATTTTGCAAGTAAAAATTTGTATTACCTAGACATTTTTTAATCATTTAAATATATTTTATTCTTCTTTCTAATATAATGCATGTGTGTGTATTCATATCCTGTGTTGTCTTAAACATCCATGACAGTATTGAATAAAGTCTATAATAAGTGTCCTGATATGCTCATGATTTTTATGGGAATAGTTCTTGTATTTAGTGTTTAAAATGAAATTGGC